TTTTATAAAGAATTATAAAATTGTTTTATAAAAAATGAGACTTCAGTATCTAATCTGAGATAACTGACTAAATAAGTTTCTGTGTCTAGGATATAATATGTTTTAGAAGACCTACCTGGATGACTATATTTATCTTTTATTTTATTGCATAATAGAATACTAACTCAAGATTACCATTCTTATTTCTTGCTAATATGGGAAAACATGAACAGAATTAAAGTATTGAATATAACAGTAATTATGGCAACTATGTATAAGACAGTACATAGCTCTTGATTTCATTTCAGTCCATTGTGTTACTTCCTTTTTAACTTTAAGGAAACTTGTCATGAGTTTGAATCATATGATTGCCTTCAGAGCAACTAAACATTTGACTTAACATTTGAACTTAAGAGAAGTTCATGTTTTGAATAAAATGTTGTAATTACTTTTCTTCCTACTTTTTATTATGGAAAATTTCCCCAAAAGTGCAGAAAATTATTAAATGAACTTAGTATACTCTCACCCAACCGAAGCTAATATTAACTCATAGCTAATATTGTTTTATCTACACCCTTCCTCACTCTCCACTTCAATTATCTTGAAGAAGATCCCAGATATCGTATCACATTTCATCTGTAAATATATTAGCCTTAGAACCTAATTATCACACCTAAAAGAAATTACAGTATTTTAAAATCCATTATCCAATTGGCGTTCAGATTTTCCTTGTTATGTTTATTTCTCTGTTTTTCTTTTCACATTTGTATTGAAGAAACTGCTTTGTCAAGTAGAATTTCCCACAGTCTAAATTTTCCTGATTGTATTCTGGTTGGTGTAATTTAAACATGTTCCTTGTATTTCCTGAGAATTGATAGACTGAAAGGCTTGAAGTTGTTTTTTCTTGTTCTTGTTGCTTTTACAGGAATACACTTTGTAGCCTTGTGTATTTCTATCATGAGGCACAATAAATATCTGGTTGTCTTTCTTTTGTTGTGATATTAGTACCATTTATGATCCATTATTTTATTAGGGGTTAAAAATGGTGTTCCAATTATACTTTTTTTTCTTAGTTATTATTAGCTGGAATACTTTTATTAAAGAGCAACTTTTCCTTATCACAAATTTAGTTACCCTGAAATATAGTTCATATGGGAAAAGGATAAATGCTTGATTCTTTCCCTTTATTTACTGATTTTTTAAATAATAAGCTGGTTCTTTAGTATCCTCCAAAGGTGACCAACATTTGGTTTTCTTGTTTAGCAATACATGATTTGTATTTTATTCCTATATCCATGTATGTACATGTCTCTTCCCTCCCTTCTCTCTGTTTTTTAACTTTATAAATATAGTCTTATTCTTTTGACACTTAAGTATTCTTTTTCAAAGCTCTTGTGTCACATGTGGATATTGTAGTTATACTTGGTTCCACACATTGCAAACACAAAATGTTTGAATTTGATAAGGTCTCTTGGGGATTCTTTTCATGGCATTTGGGGAAAAAGCCTTAGGACAGAGCAAACTGAAGTACTTAATCTTGCTTTTGAGAACTGGCAAAGCTTTTTGACAGTATATGTCTCAAAGTTGAAAATTTCCTTAGAGACTATGTGCGTGTTGTGTTATTATCTATCCTGTATTTAAGCCATTTAAGTCTAAACCAAGTTACTGGTTCATTAACCTTTGTTTTCATACTTAAGTCCTAAGTTGATTGAAAAAAAATTATCTTCAAAAACAAAAGTCTACAAAGTGACTGAAACGTGAGTCACTCAGTATCCTGAGGAAATAAACATTTTTCCTGTAGTGAAAATTTACCCATCCTATTTTTGTTGTTTTCAAGGGGCTTCCTGACCATAATTTGTTAAAAGTTTAACTCAACACAAAAAAAGTCGTTTTGAGATTAAAGCAATATCCACAATACCAGAAGATTTCCTAGGGAATATTTATCTAACAACTGTACTAGTGAATTCTTATTATCAGATCATTTAGATATTGGAAAGAGAGGGGAAGACTGACCAAAAAAAAGAGGAGTCTAAGTAGAGGTGCTAGAGAACTAACCTTAATTTAATGTTTACAATGTGCCAATTACTGTCAGAGTTTTATGTGTGTTATCTTGCCTGGCATCCTGCAGTTCAGAATTAGGGCCAGGATTCAAACTCTTACCCTTTCGATTATGTAGCATATGCTTTCCCCTCCCAGTACATTGCATCTCAGAATGCTTTCGGTGATAGAGAAAAGTATAGATTTATTCTGTTAAGTATCACTGTATTGAGATCACAACATCAGTGTAAGTATTTTGCTTTTTCACCTAGGGTATTGGTACAGCAATCGGAGAGCTGCCTCCATATTTCATGGCCAGAGCCGCTCGCCTCTCAGGTGCTGAACCAGATGATGAAGAGTATCAGGAATTTGAAGAGATGCTGGAACATGCAGAGACTGCACAAGTAAGAACAGTAGGGAAAGAAATAGAACATTTTAATTATCCCTAAAGAGGTTATTATTAAGGTAAAATTGTTGATAGTTACTCTAAGGAAGAAAATTGTCAAACTAAAAAAAAGAGAGAGAGATCACATTATATGTCTCTATCAAAGCATCCCATGTACCCTATAAAGATATATGACTATTATGTACCCATAATAATTAAAAATTTTAAAATTTTAAAAAGTGAAATTTGACTTGAGATAGAATATTCAGAAAAGCTGAAATACACCAATGATAATATTCTTGATCTTACAATAGAAAATTATAGAAAAAAGTTGATAAGACAGCTCAAATTAGGTTAAAAACACCTCATCAGAAGCCATGATAAATTTCATGTTCCCAATGATGCTAAAGAGCTGAAACACACTTTTTCCATGTGTTTGTAAGTATTCCCAAGCAGACTGCTGAAAAAGTAAAGGGGACAAATAGGTAGACTAGGATCTGAGGCCATAATAGAACTTCTTTTTTTTTTT